GCCATGGGCATGTTTTGAAAGGTAGTGCTAGAAAGAGCAGAATGTGGTGGAATGATGGAAAGAGGCCTGTACAGAATGCAAAGCAGATACAGAGTTATGCTGAGGTGAGAAGGAAAGCCGTTCTTACGGATCAAATGAGGAATAACACCTAGAAAATGGCTCATTGATTCTTTTTGTGTGTTATATAAAGAAAACAAAGATCATAGAATGAAATATTTGCTTCCTATTTTTAAGAAATGATTGGCCGGGATTTGAGCATCATTTTGGTTCTATGCATTAAGCAGCAGTTTAAAGGCAGTATTTTGGTGCTTTGCTGTGATAGGGCAAATCAGCCTACTTGGCTTTGTAGTTTTTAATCTGAAGAGCGATGCTGTTGTGCCTGATCACCTTTGATCTCAGAGGGACCTTCAGAAGCTGAGGTCGCATCAGGCAGAGAAGATGCACCCTGTTCTCAGAGCAAGTAAATAGAAGGTGTATACACGTATCTTGGGTCTTGACTGACAGCAGTAATTCATCTAGAGGTGTCAGAAGTGCTTGTAAAGTAAACAGTGAAGCCAGCAGTTAAGAGTCTACTTTGTGGGGAGCTGTGTGGGCATTCCTGACTGCTCCTGAACTTTGTGTAGCAGCTGCATTCACTGGGTAAACGAACATGTTGGACATAATAAACCTCTGAAGAAGATTCATAGGATTAATGTGGAATAGAGAGGTTAGAAAAGGAAAACAAACAGTGAGGAGGAGTTGATCTAGGAATCTAGTGTATGCTGTCACCACAGTCACAGCGGGAACTGACCTTTTGGGCTACAGATGGCTGGAGACTACCTGCAGAGGTGTTGAATTATTAATGTTAACTGGAAGTGTTTCTTTGCATGCTGCTATTTTTATCACTGAGGAGAAGCACACCGAGTTGTGGTGGTTTTTTTTCCATAACAATTCATTTCTCTCAAACTTTGTATTAAAATACCCCCTTCCTTGAAACTGGCAGCTCTCCCTTTTTAGTCGTTTTATGCTGCAGAAGTTTCAGGTAAGCAGAAGAGGACGGGCACATTTCTTCTGCTATTTGGCCTGCTAAAGGGAAGATCCATTAACAGGAAGTGTGGTGTGGAAAGGGTAAAGGGAGGGCACCAAGTTAGGGCTTGATGTAAGAGGCTGCTGGGAGGGCAAGACATCAAACACCCGCTTCTACAGGGAGGGTCTGTGTTCCTCTGCCTGGTGGCAGGTAGAGATAGATCATGTTCCTATGGGATGCTTTCCGAGTCACTCCCTTCAGAAACCTTTCTTTGGAGGTGTATGATCCACTGCACCAGGAAGGTCAAGGTTTTCTCTGCCTGAAATGGGAAGTTGCCAGAGTTCAGAGTGCCCATCTCCTCCTGTGGCTGATATGCCATGAATCCCATCACCCCCAAGAGCCCCCCTCCAGCATGCAGATCACTGCAAGGGGTCACTGGCTTGTGAGAAAGCTTCCATGAGGCTTGGGAAGGAAAAAACCTGATTTTTGTGGTGCTGAAGAATGAATGCAACTGAAACCAAAGGGAGAACAGTGTTTTGTGTCGCTAAACATTGCTGTTGCTGCTCAGTGTTTGGAGAACTCCTTGTTGGAGTATTAATGGCATGTTTCCAGAGCAGTCAGCATCTTGCAGTCACCCGAGGAGCACCTACCTTGTGTTGCCTTTTGCTTGAGAGGCTTGTATTCAATCTGTGTAAATGTACATAAAGAAAAAGAGTCAAAGAAAGCCTTCAGGAAGGGGATGAATTCCCTGAAGGAGCAGGAGGGTTGAGCGGGGTGGCCAGTGAGGATTTCTCAGGCTGGAAATCTGTCCCGGTGTTTGTATTTAATGCTGATAAGTTCCCCCTCAGCTCTGTACAGTGATGTAGCAGCTCATATTTTATGTTTAATGCTGTGTTTGTATTAACTTGCAGAAGCACTTTTAACTTCCTGGCATAAACCCAGGCAGGTTGATCAGGGTTGAGTGTTCAGCTGTGACATGGTTGAACAGAAAGTTTTCAGCTTGAAAATTGCAGTGTGGAAATAAAATATTCATGGGTTTTAAAGTGTCCATTTGGGAATGCTACGTGAGGGTCTTCCCACAGAATTCCTCAGAAATTGATTGACTGACTTCTTGTTGGTAGAAGATGAAGCAGTGATGTGACTCCTTAGTTGCTAACCTCTCCTTACTAACTAGTGAGAACAGGTTAGCAACAGTAAGAACCCCCAGCAGCCGCACTGGGTTTGGTCTGAGGTTACTCCCTCATCTGCAAATTTCTTTTGTCTCAAAATGAAATCAAAGGCAAATTAAAAATACTTTGCAAGTTCTCTGATCTTCAGTATAATGTGTGAATTTTAATGTCAATGCTTTAATAAGCATCTTCTCTCCTTAGCAGACACCAAAGTACCTCTGCTCACTTCCTCCCATTCCTGATCTGGGAGTTGAATTCAGTACTGTTACTTCTCAGGAAGAGCTTTTGGACCCAGTGGGTTTTGCACTTTAAGTATTGCAGGTTCTGAACCACCGTTCTTAAACAGTTTTCAATTGGATGCAGCATGATGTTGTGAATTGTATCCAACTTGTCTTTTTAAGCAGTCAAATCATACTCTATACAGAGGAACCCACAGTTAGAGCTTCTATGGGTTTGATCTTGAGGCTTTGCTGAGAAAGCATTTTGGATATTGGCTTTCCTGGAAACTTGGCAAATATTCTCTGCTTCATTTTTCAGTTTTAACAACAACCCAGTGGCATGCATTCCGATGGATGTGTTCTTGAAATGTAGAGAAGAAAATATTCACTGTCTTAATGATGGATGAGAATGTCCCTGTATTTCTCATATTAAGAAGCTTTAAATATGCTACAGAGTTTCTGGTGGCTTGTTCCAAAGTTGTTCAGGAATGGGAAAAGCATTATTGGGTTCCTTGGTCTGTAATGATTCAGCATCATCAGTGGCTGTTGAGTAGGAGTTTGGGGAGTGTGAAAGTGCTGTAATTCCAACTGAAGATGTGTTCTATAGTAGCACAGCAAATGGTTGTGCAGTAGAATACCTGACCTCTGTTGTGGGGAGGTGGGAGCAGGGAAATAACCCCATTTGTCCCTAGAACTGGTTAGCGTGTTACATTTCATTACTGGGTTGCTGTCTGTGCTCAAGGAGAATCAAAACACTGAGCTTAGGAATAGAAAATCAAGATCAGCGAAGTCACAGCCAGACCTTGCTAGTAAAACACTGAGAATAAGTCAGTGTTAGACCACAAGTGGGAACCAATAAATAAATGAGAAGGAAAAGACCATAGCAGGAGCCTTTCTAGTGAAGGAATCATTTGTGTGTTTTCAATTCTAAGAAGAGATTTTGTCCAGCAGTTTTCTTAGTTTCCTTCAGTGTGGGTTTGCCAGTGTTGGGGCTCTCTAACACCCTGCAGCACCTTGGGTTTCAGAGGCTGGGTGAGCTTTTTCTTTTTTTTCTTTTATTTCCTATTATGTTTTTCTTTTCTTTTTTCCCTTTTTTATTTTTTTTCCCTTTTTTTTTTCTTTCCTTTTTTCCCATCTTCCTATGCTGCTGAGTACATGAAACGAGGGAGCAGGAAGGAAGCCAGGGGCTCTTGCTGAGGAAGAATAAGGCACTGATGTATCGGGTGCCAGATTTCTGCTGTTCTGGTAGGAAGCCTGTTCCTGCAGGTTTAAGACTAGGGGGAACTGTTTTCATCCACTGCCACCCATTGCAGCAGCCCATGGTGCAGGAGCTGCGCTGCTCACAGAGCCCAGGACAGGGAGTGCTGGTGGCTGAGGGATGGAGCTTCCCAGTCACCTCGGATCACTTGTGGAAACCAGGCCTCTTTTATAAGATACAGATTTTGTAGGGGATGAACTGAAAAAGTACGGAACTGTTCATCCTTTTCATGCATTCTAGGAAGTGCTGCTTACTCCTTGCTAGCTCGGGGATGAGTAACTCCCACACGACTGCAGGGTTTTGCCAGTAAGAACATAATCAGATTTCATGCTATTTTTTTCTGGGTTCCCCATCATAGACATGGGAGTGAGCAGACACTGGTCCTGTCCTCCCTTCTTGGTGTGAATAGCATCTCTCTGCTTCAGTTTCTGTATAATTACACACTTGTGTGGCTCTGGCTCATTCTCTAAGTGTGAAGTTTGGGTGTTTTTTCTTGTTTTGCCTGCTGCTTGGAATTGCAGTGAGCACCCTGGGGGAATGGAGGTGTGGGTGGCCTTGCTTCCGACAAGCCAGGGAGTGCTGAACACGTGATGGAAGCAACTTGAGCCACCTTCCTTCTGTTTTCCTTCTCTGGTTTAGGTATTGGGATGAGGGAATGTAGAAAAGAGCATAAGGATGTGAAATCCATGTTTTTAACTGGCTGCAGCACCGTGTCATTGGTTGGAGGTGAGGCATTGCTGAGTTTGGATGTTGTAGGTTTGTGGTGCCTCGTGTGTCTCCACAAGCAGTGGGAACATGCTGCCCATCGGTTCCAGGGGCTGATGCTGAAGCAGCAGCTGGAGCCAACCCAAACCGTTCTGTGATTCTATGCTTAAGAAAATAAGCAAAAAATAGAGTGAATGTGTTGTTATGGTTTAGTGGCTCACTTGGGTGTTTTTTCCCTTATAATGCTCTTAGTTTTAATATTAGAAAGAACATCCTCTATTATAATATTGATCAGGGACCCTGAATAGCACATCCTCATGTTTTAATAATGCGTTTCAGTTGGACAGTGACTATTTTAAGGTGAGCAGCAGAAGTCTGCTGATAGCCATTTCCATGCTCTGGAAAAGAAGAATGGGCTCTGGAAATAATCATAAAAAATAGGACCTCAAAGTCTCAGTACTGATCTATTTAAAAAAATGAAAAATTGCAGCAGTCATCCCCTGCTTGGAACAGGGTGTGTTGAAGAGCAGGTAACAAAGGTTCACCGAAGCCCTTCACAGGTTACAGCAGTGGTAAAAATCCAGCACAAACACAATTGATTTTGTTTTTACACTGAGTAAGGGGTTTCTTGTCTGTCTTTGCAGATGAAGACTGTCAGTGTTGCCTTAGTTCTGTGCCTAAACGTTGGTGTGGACCCTCCTGATGTGGTGAAAACGACTCCCTGTGCCCGCCTGGAGTGTTGGATCGGTAAGTCCTGAGAACTTCCAAGCTCCAGCTAACTGTTGTCAGCTACATACAGGGATGTTCAAGTGGTGTGTTTCCTGAACTCAAAACTGGGGTGAACAAAAGGAAACGGGGCATCTGACATCACTGTCTGTGAGTTAACTGAGAGTCCAGCAGTAGCTGCTGCCTTGGCTCATCTTTCCTGATTTGTTCTGAAATGGGATAGCGTGGAGAAGACAAGGTGGTGATGAGGTGCTTGGCTTGCTTTTAATTGTTGTGGATTTATAAATACCTAAGGAAATCTCAGAGCAGTTATGTCTTTATAGAGAGCTGTGATCTGCAAAGCTTTGCAATTACCCTGCATCATACAGGGTAGGAATAAGCTTGTGTAAAATGCATGGATTTTACTGCATGGTGAGGAGACTGCTCTGAGGCTAATTTAATTGGGATCATGAATTCAGAAGTCCTGGAATTATTCCCAAGGATGTTTTGCCAGCAGCTCTAGCACCTGGGCGTGCTACCCTGCTGCAGTGTTGGAGTGAATTTCTAGGGTTTTGTGAAGAAATGGAAAGTTGCCTTGGTTTGGTTTTTGGAGATCACTTCTCATGAGGACGAGACTTATCTGAAGTAATTTTACAAGGAAATACCTAGTGTAAGAAAGCTTTCTGAGAGATTTGGGGTTTATCTGGGTATTGAAAATGTTCAGTCTTCAGGAAGTAACGTGCAGAGCTCTGTAATCCTGAACTGTGGGGCTTACATCAGGCTGCAGAAGCAAATGAATCATTGTCCAAACTGAATTTCCTAAAAAACCTGCAGAATATCTCCTTTCTAACCTTGCTGTACCTGCTTATGAATCATGGCAGCTCATTTGTTTTAACCTAAAAATGCTGATGACTTTAAAGCAGTTAAAAAGCCATGAGCATGCAATAACAAATACACCTATTCAGTGGGGAGAACAGCTCTAGTTTCTCACTGATACATTGAGAAGAGAGCAATGAGAATGAGGGGTGTTGCAGAGTCATGAAATAAAGTTATTAATGACTGTCATCAGTGAAGAGCATGTTGAATGCAGCTTTGTAATGAAATGTTCAGTGTGTATCTCTACCCAAGAAGTTGTTTCCGTTTCTAGCCAACTTTTGGCAAAGGTAATGGCAAAAAATCTGCAGTTTTTCTCTGTACAATGCTCTCCAGAGCAGCTAAAGGTGAGGATGGTGGGAGAATCTTTGCCAGATGGGTAAGGAATTGTGGTGATTGTTTTGGTGCAATTGCTGCTCTTTACAGCCAAGCTGAGATCTCCCTTGTGTGAACACTGCACTTTGCTGTCCCTTCCACAGGCACCCTTAGAGTATCTCAAGTGGTTTATTTTCCTCCGGAGTGAAGCCTGAGCTGACATGTGTGCTGCGGTGTCAGCCTGGCGCAGGGAAGGCACTGGAGGAGCCTCATGCTGCGACTGCACTGACAGTGTCCTGGCTGGTGTCTGCAGGGCTTTGTCCTTAAGCGTGCGCTCAACACGGGAGGCTGAGGGCTCACGTCATGACGCTGGTGCACAAGCTATATTTAGGAAAACAATTTATTTCCACTGTTTGGCTCTTGGAATGGCACCAGGGAACTTTCTTTTTATACAAAAGGATGTTGTTAATAACACTAATTGCTCTGGAGGCACCCCAGGGTCTCCAGACTACGTTCCTCTGCTGGCAAAGCGCATGTAAAGTGTTTGAAACTTCTTTTTCTGAAGTTCAGTTTGGTCCTTTTGAAGGACTCAGAACAGAAATCCGATGCGTTTATGCTTTCTTTTTTTGTTTCCTTTTTCATTTGGGCAGTAGCTAATGGCATATTAACTCACAGCAGGCTTCTGAGGTCTGAGCAGTCGCCTCCAGGGATACCTTCCACTAGACCAGGTTGCTGCAAGCCCCATCCAACTTGGCCTTGAATAACTCACCGATTTGGTTAATAGAATTATTTATATAAAATAGCAAAATATTAGCTTCTGGTTTCTTTGAAGCTTGTTACTAGTGTCAGTTACATGGCCATGGTGTTTGAATAAAGCACACAAGATGAAGCTGTGCTGGTATGGATGGATGGGGTAATTACCCAGTAACACAATTAACTTCTCAAACTCCAACTGAAGCGTGCTCTCTGGAGCAGTCAGCAATGGAAGCAAATGAGGCAGGATTCTGCATTCATCAAGACCATATATTTATCATCAAATATTTAACCAGTTTAAATTTTTGTCATTATTTACTATAGAAGCCTTTTTTTTCTTATGAAGGAAACAAATGCAATGCCTTTCTTGGCTTTTAAAACCCAATTATATTTACTGCCTTAGCAAGAGAAATCTTCCAAGTGTGACACTCTTTAATGGTGTTTAATTTATACTGGAGTGAAGAATCTGGGGATGCATTCTTCTGTGAAAAATGCAGTGTTTCTGAATTTGAAGTGGAAAGTGCAGGAACCTGCATTAAAACATCATGAAACAACCTTTCTTGCAAACAGACCACTGGGGAGGGACAGGATGGGAAGATTTTGGCTTCTTTCTTCTGCAAAGGGTGGTGGTGTCCATCTGGATTCTACAGAAACACAAAGTTTTAAATGCACATAAAATTGGATATAATTTCTGCTGCTTGTCAAGCTGAGTGATTCAGGTGTGGTCAGAAATGCTCATTTGTGTTCTCTTTCCCAGATCCTCTGTCAATGGGTCCTCAGAAAGCTCTGGAAACCATTGGTGCAAATCTACAGAAGCAGTATGAGAACTGGCAGCCAAGAGTAAGTAGTCCTTGGGCTTCCCCTCTGCATAGACTGCACACAAAGACACATGTCTGTTATGTGGCCTGGTGGTCCTGCAGCATTGGTTGCTTTCTTCCTCCATTGGTGTGAATGAGCTCTTGCAACTGTTGGATTTGGTGGCTTTTCAGCTGATGCCCCCCTTGGCTCACACTCTCTTTGATCACAGCCTGGAGGTTGTTTAAAGTTTTACAGTGATTCTTTTAAACTGAGGTTCTTCTGACTTTGTTGTGGATGTTGTGCAGTTAGTGGTTGAGGAAGGCTCTTGGGTTTGTTTTGAAACATGATTTCAGAGCTTGGTAACTGCCAGTTCTGCCTAAAGTATGATGTGTGTAGATGTCTGAAAATGAATGTTTGGGGTAGTAGTAGCACTTTAGGAATCAGAGCAGGAGTTAAAGCAGCATGCAAGCAACTGGCTCGTTGTTTCTTCTTTGGTAACATCTCACATTTCACACAAGGGAAGTGTTTTGCTTCTGCATCTTTCATTGTTCCTGGTTTCATGTGTTTCAGTAAATAAACTACAGAAAGATCTGAAGAATAACATTTGAAGTCTGCAGCATTTTCTAAATAGATTCAAAACCTGAGCTGTAGAGTCCTCTTCTCTGTTAACATTCCCCAGCATGTTCATGTCCTTATCTGTATGCTCTAGGCAGTTTGGGTCAGAATATTCCTCTTCAAAGTACCTGGACTATTGACTACTAAACCATAAATTTATCATTAAAAGCATGGAATGTGTAAGCAGAGCAGAAATAGTAACTTCAGTGAATTAACCTACCTGCAGGGGGGCTGTAATTTATATTTTCTCTTATGATGTGGTATGCACACTAATCTGGTCTTCATTTTCTTAAGGAGACGTGGTTTCTTTTCTTCCTTTTAGATTGTTGGCAGTAATGATGTGTGGGTTTTGTCAGCACCAGGGCTGTACTTTCTGTTTCTATCATTACTCACTACTTTATTTAATGTATAAATAATCTACTGAGTGTCTCTGTAACGTCTGTTCACATTAGTGTAAGAGTGTGGTCTGTAATTGGGAAAGTTCCTGGTACTTCCCTGTCCTCTCTATAGGATGCCTGGAAGGAGAAGGCCCTTGTGTTAGCTGTGCCCTTAGGTATTTGTAATCAGTCCTTCTATTTAAATAGAGATGGGTTCCAGGCATTTACTTGTTTGTTTGTCATTTATAAAATCAATGCAGAGAGATTGCCCCCACCGAGGATCTGAGAGTGTTTGTCACCAGAAACAGGCTTGTTAGCATGTGTGGGGTTAGAGGCTGTGGGTGAATGTTGTCGAGTGCATTCCAGGTCCCTTCTGTACTTTTCAATTCAAACTTGATGGAAATAATATTCTATTCAGAACAATTTGAATGTAAATGCAGTTCATGCTGGTTCTTTAGCTCTTTGTGTGGCATTTCCCTGCTCCCTTATTTAGGGCTGGCTGACTAGAGCTGGGTTTATCATTCAGTAAAAGCTTAGTGTCCTGAAGGAGAGTTACTGGGTTTAGTGGAGAATTGACCACATTACTAAATCTGTGGGTAACTGTCCGTGGGAATGCTTTTTCCTGAAGTGTTTTGTAAGTGTATTTACATAAAGTCTTCTCTTGGAGCATGATGGTGTATATTTGAGACCGAGGCTTTCCTTCAGTGGTTTTCCTGGTTTTCCTCTTGGTACATTGACTTTTTTTTCTTTAAACTGTCTCTTGCCTCCTAGGAATTGGGCAGAAAACTCAGATAGTGTCTGAAATCCAATAGGAGAGGGAAACATCTTGATGCAAAGGTGAAAACAAATCTTTTTCTCTGCTCTTTAATAATGGAGCCCATATGACTGAGAATGAGGGTGGGCACCAGGGAGCAGCGGGGCCCTGTGTGGGAAGACCTCATCTCACCTCATTGTGAAGGGTTTGCAGGGAGCACAAGGCAATCACTGAGCTCAGCTGCTTGTGTGGAAGGTGCCGGGTTCTGGCCAGTAAATCAGAGCCCTGTGGAGCATTGCAAAGCTGAACACGCACCGCTTTATTGCACTCTACAGGGCCCTTGAGTTTTCTGCAGTAATAAAGAGCTGATGTGCCATCTGCAATAAAACAATAGGAACATTATTGAATTTCCTAGACCTTTCATATAAATACTAATGCATCTAGTTTTGTCTGTTTCTCAGTGGTTTGGGATGGTTGAAGAATTGATGGAAGGAGGCCAATTTGGGGAAAGCCAGGCACTCTGCAAGAGAGACCAAATCATGACATAGCTGATGTTACTGGGCTGTCAGCAGGGTCCTGCACCAGGAAACACCTCCTCCGTGGCTGGCTGTGAGTGCACAAGTGGAGGGAGCGCCTGCTCAGGGGATGATGTCAGCAGTAAATGCTGTGTTGAAGCCCTGTGACACCCCTTCCAGTGCAGCCCCTGTCTGCTTATAACCTTTGGAGGTTGTTCAAATGCACTAAATACAGCTTAGATGGAAAAGCTTAACAAGGGCTAAGCGTGAAAATTCTTTGTTTCTGGAGACTCCCAGGCTGAGGCATATTTTCTTCCAGCTCTTATCGAGTCCCTTTCTAAATAATCTATCAGCTTGCCATTGCCTGAAGTATTTGTCCTGATTAAATTTAAGGCTTTGCTTTATTGCTGTGTAGCAACATAAATTTGTGTGCTGCAGGAGTAAAAACCACTCCAGCCGTTGTTTCATCTGCAAAATGCTGCAGTTAAACAATATCCTGTCATTTCATTGCAATTCTCAGGAGAAAATTTCACTGGGGGAAGAGGGGAGATGACAAAGCTGTTGCCTTTATCTGTCTTCATCAGGAATTGGCGGAACAAGTAAGAGTTATTTGAATTCAGTGCAAAGAGACTTTGGATGCTAGGGAGAAACTGGAAAGGAAAACAAGACAGCTCTTACCTAGAGTTACCTTCGGTCGTGGGGTTTGAGTTCCACTGGGCATGGAAGGGGTTAACCCTGAGAGTAATCTGGAAAGCAGGCTCAGTTATGGGAGGTAAAAGGGGTTGCTGAGGCAGCTAAGGATGAGAGGAGGAGAGTGAAAGAGCCCAGGATCCCACTCCCTCCCCAGATGCAGCCTGATGGAGGTGAATAACCTTCCCTGGGATTCTCTTCTGGCCAATGGGGGTCATCCTGGGGGGTGGGAAATGGCTGGGGAACCCCATGGACAAGGAGAGCCTTTAGCAGAGACTGCACCTTATATCACTTTAATTGCCCAGAATAAACCACTTTGAATTTCCACTGGAGATTCATGTGCTCTGGATTTCAAATATTTGGATAAGAATAGATCTGTTGAAATGATATTTCTCTGCTGCTGATCTTCATCTCTTCCCCTTTGCGGAGCAGTGCCTGTGTTAGGTGCAGTGTTGTGTAGGTGACCAGGGAGAGCAGTAGTTTGCTGGTGCTGGCAGTAAGTAGCAACCATTTTCCCCTTGTCTGGATGCAAATTCAGTTTTCTTGGCAGCGGTGCACGTTGTGCCAGTCAAAAGGCAGGAACTTTCCTTAGTTTAAAAGTCATCAGGCTTTGTTTGAAACAGGAATAATAGACTATGAATTCCGAGTGCTGCTGCAGTGGATGCTTTATGGAGGTGCAGTCACTAGCGGGGGTTTTATGAGCAGAAGTTACTCTTACTTAGCTCCCAGTTTACACCCATTTACCAGCAGAGCTGGGACCTGGGCTGTTTGCTGCAGCACTCTGCAGTGCTGGAACAAAGGGGTGAGTGGAGAGGTGGAGGTGGTGCTGCAGCTCTCTGCACAGCACCATGGTCCTTTCCATGTGGACCAGCTTGGGAGTGTGGCTTTCTGCATCCTCTTGCCTGGAGTTCTCTGGGCTGAGCTGTAGTACAGGGAGCATCATTTACACTGTGTAAAAGCATCCTGGTGTGTGGCACTGCACACAATGCTGTGAGGTGAGGCTGCTCTTTGATTGCTGCTGCCTTAGAAGGGTGCCAAACTTTCTCTTTTTCCCTCCCCTCTCTCATAATGGACGCTTCATCACTTGGCTTCTGGCCTTCCCCAGGCAATAGTTTCCTTCGTTTCCATTGCAGTGTGTTTGCCTTTGAGAATGGGGCTGTGTAGCCAGAGCAGAGCTGTAGGTTGCATGATGCACATGTTACATAATTCAGATATGGCATGAGGTGCTCTGGAGCATATACTGATTAAATTTGCATGAAATTATAGATTATTTTTTCTTTCTGTTGGCAATGGCTATGACCAGTTTCTTTCTTTAACTCCAAACTGACCAGAACATTCTCAAGACCTTTCTTTCTCTCTCTCATGTCACTCGATGAGCCACCCCAAAGAATTTTTTTCCCCTTATTCCCACTTGCCTAAATAAAACAAGGTCAATTGCAGTATTGAGTTTTCTAATTCAAATTTAACTCCTTGCTGTCCCCCTTGTTCTCCTCCTGCTTCCTCCTTTTTTTGCTGAGACAGTCGCTTACACTGTTTTGATTGATGGATTTAGCTGTATTTCATTATAGCTCCTCCTGAACAGACACCCCTGGAGTGAAGGAGAACCATGACCTATGAAAGGGAATAAAAATCCCAGGTAGGGGAAGAGCTGGATAGATGTAGAAGGCAAGATTAAATCGACTTTTAAAAGCCTTTGGAAAGGGTGGCTTGGAGTCTGACACTGGGATTTGAGATCTGCAGTATCCCCAGTCAGTGAGGATGGGGTGTTAATGTGCACACTGTCACACAGCAGTTTTGCTTCTGTCCTTACACAGTTCTCTTTTGGATGCTCTGTTACTTGGATTAGTGCCACTTATTGAGAGACAGGCAGTAACACATCTGAACTGGCAGATCGAGGCATGTTCGAGGGCTTTCCAGACCATTTCATTTACGTGGTCGTACCCATTTTTTCACTCATCTCAAAGAGGTGACATAGCCAAGGAGGAGCAACTGCAGCAATCCCTTACTGGAGTGGGCCTAAGGAAACTGAGGACCTCGGTACTCATCCCAGGCAGGCCTGGCTGCTCCTTCTCTGTGGGGCATTAATAGCTA